AAACAACCCCATTTGGCGAGGTTGTTACGTTTCAACGAGTTTGGGCTCATTTGAATCTTGACGAGTAGTTGGTATTTAAACGGTAACCAAGGTCTAATAATGTAGCTGGAAGGTGGTCATAGGAACTTAGTAAAGCAACGACGCAACCTCATCGAGTCTCGACTCGTTTGATTCCATTGTATTTAAAAAGTGTTTTTTTTTTTCATTAATTTTATTTAATTAAATATTTTAATATTAGACAATGAATATAAATTCATAAAAAATGCAAATTTTCTATTTTTAGTTGCACACTGATAACGTTTATAATTTTTTTAAGTGTAATAATAGTAATATTTGGCTAGTGTGTTTGGGTTGTGGTTTCAAATGTCTTAAGTGTGCAAGTTACGCCGTCATCTTTCTCTCTCCCTCGTTAACAGAATTTTCATCCTCATTTACCCTATCCCAAATCCATTATGCCAAACAGTTCATCGACCTTTTCTTAGATTTTCTCTTCTTTCATAAAAATTAATTGAAAACCCCTTACGAAATTAGGTTTAAACCCGTTTCATCATATGACACAGACCTGTCAGACATGCTGTTGAACCTCGGTTACGATACTCGATCGAACCATCCAACTTTTGTAACACAAAAAAGTATCAGCCTATACATGTCCGACCGCTGGGCAAAGGCCTCCTCTGTTCAGAGGGTATCAGGGCATAGTCAACCACGCGGCCCCGATGCGGATTGGCGGACTTCATATAAATCTTCGAAATATATAGTTTTTTCTTATTATTTCGAAAATATGTAGGTTTCCTCACGATGTTTTCCTTCACCGCTGAGCACGTGATAATTCAGCACTTGAAATTAACAATTTCATTGGTTCTGACACCGGGAATCGAACTCAGGTTGCTCAATATGGTCGTGCATGAAACATATCTATTAATCCTTACTTGAAATTTGGAATCTAAATATGTAGAAATTGAATAAATTAGTTTGTTTACATGAACGCTAAAATATAATCGGTTGTAAGTTTATCTTCTTAACCAATTAAGATGGACACTATCCATCTGTGATTTCAAAATAAAATCCAAAATTCAAGTTTAGAATGCCACTAGTATAATGCTTCAACATAAATGAGTGTTTTAAGATTTCATACTTATAAAAGTATAAATAATAATATCGCTCGTTCTATATAGACCGAGCGATATTGAGATTATTCTGAGCCTTGTGACTTAGCTTAGCGATGGATGTTCGTAGTACATACTCGTACTTTAAAAACATTCTGCAAACACCCAGGGCCGGCATCGCATTTGTATCTTTCCTTGTGCTGCATATATCCATCGAAGGGAGCGATAGCATAACATCACGTAAGTCTTAATCTCCTTTTCCATGATAATGGTGAAGTTTTCAAAAGGCCCAGAAGACGAAAGGACAGAAAGAAGCAACAAGACTATTTGAACGTGACTTTGTATCAAAAATATTTAAAGACTCATTTCAATTGATAGTCCAATATGACATTGTTTTAATATTATACTGTTGCATATGAATAAAATTAAGAGGTGGAACAGTTCTCGTGTATTGTGTGTCGAAATGAATAAGAGGATTAAATGGTTATTATGAGTAATTCATAAATAAATACGAATTCATTCGAATGGACAATTTAAAACTGCGCAATAAAGTCTGTTCTCGATAAACCTTGTTTTCCCACTAAGAGTTAAATTTTTATGTTTTATATAAAAATGTAATCAAGATTTATAACTTCAAAGATAACGAAGTAAAAGGAACTAATTTTGAAAGTAATAAGTGACATTTATGTTATGATAGCATACACATATATCGCGAGGGCTTAATGGCCCACGAAATAAACGTATTTATGAAGATCTCTCACAAATCCCTTTTTATTTACGCTGAGAAGTAACCGATATGAGTTTGTCTGACCTAAGCGGCTTAGTAAGCCAGGATTACGTTAGCTCCGCCAAGCCACGCCGCTGCTTACGCTTAAATGGAAAATAATACCCAAAACGAGTTATCAAATGAAGAACGTGAGTAAATTATAATTGGAATTTCTTTCGCCTGTCAGCACGTCACGCGGCAGAGTGATGTACGAAACGCGCGATGAGATAAAGAAATGTGCGTAGCGAGGACCCTGAAGCGAATCTATTGATGCTCGTCACACAATGGGGCGCTCTCTGAGACCCTATTCAAGAGCGCTCACAGCGCGACAAGGCGAAAACTCATTCAAGTCGCTTACGACTGCGGAATTGAGCTTTCAAACTCTAGCCAACGTGGTCTAAAATTCACATGAAAATTCGGGTGAAATCCTTCCAGATGTCAGCGGATAAACTGACATCTTTTTGAACTTTAAATTATCGTTACATATTTTTTTTATTTCAATTCCATCTAACACATTTAAACGAGCAATTCTTGTATACATAATATTATGTAATCTGAATCTCTGAAACTACAATAATAAGCAGGTGACGGTAAATCGATCTAGATTACATTTTTAGAAAACGTCGTTTTATCCATGTTTTCAGGCAATTAAAAATGTTATTAGAATACAAATGTAAATTTCGCCACTATTTACAATATTACAATAGCTCGGGCGGTAATAGAGCGTTACCAAACAAGAATTGACCCTGATTTGGGAACAGATATTTTTTTATTGTATTTCGGGTCCAGATAATTATTATCTTTTTTTATTTCTCTTTTTTTTCAAGTTCCTTCTTTTGCGAAAAAAATCCGAGCAAAGCTCAGTTATCCAGATACTAAACACATGAAACATGGAATGAGAATATATTGAGGGCAAAAATCTCTATCACAGACTGCAGAGCGAAACGCACAGAGTAAAATAATTCATCATCTTATCTTCTTCTTATATATAAAAATGGATTGCTGTTCGTTAGTCTCGCTAAAACTCAAGAACGGCTGGACCGATTTGGCTAATTTTGGTTTTGAAATATTTGTGGCAGTCCAGGCAAGGTTTAAACGATGAGAAATTATCGAAATAGCAACAATTTTATTTTCCCATACAAAACTGTACCTATCAAACAAACCTGTCAAACACTTTACGCGTACGTTCCGACTCCTCTAGAAATAGTTTATATGGCAAAACAACGTTTACCGAGTCAACTAATTCTATATATAAAAATTGATTGCTGTTCGTTAGTCTCGCTAAAACTCGAGAATGGTTGGACCCATTAGCCTAATTTTGGTTTTAAAATATTTTGGCAGTCCAGGGAAGCTTTAAACGATGAGAAATTATTGAAAAATTGTATGGAAAATCGAAAAAGCAGCAATTATATTTTCCCATACTGTTCCTACTGTTACTACCTGTCAAAAATTTTATGTGTGCGTTCCGAAAATTCAGATTCTGGTGTGTTTAGATTCACTTATTCCCTAGAAATAATTTAGATGGCAAAACAAAGTTTGCCGTTTCAGCATCTATATGCATTTAGATTAGCAATTCGATTCCTTCGCGTTTGAAAAATTAAAGCAACCGAAATTATAAAAAACTAGGAATTATACAGTTACGTATTAAATTTCTAGCTGACCAAACGTTGTTTTGCCATATAAATTATTTGTAGGGTAGATAAAAATTTTTGGGTGAACCAACCTTAACATTTAGGGGGATGAAATATAGATGCTGTCCGATTCTCCACCCTGGCCGATATGCACACAAATTTCACGAAAATTGGTCGAGTCGTTTCGGAGGAGTTCAATTACAAACACCGTGACACGAGAATTTTATATATTAGATTAGGCTATAAGTTTGTATTCATATGTATGTAATATTTTATATAAAGCCATATTATTTTTCATTTACTTATTATTATTTATTTTATTTCGCACTTACTTATTTTCTCTGTTTATTTGTCAATTAACTGGTAGAGAACACTCAATGGTGCTAAGTCGGACATTATACGCTATTGTGCAAAAAGTTTTTAAATAATTTAATAAGTTCGGACTTTGAAAACTGTTTGGCACCTTGACGTCGGGTAAATATCAAAAGTATATATACATAAGAAAGGCAAAAGTTATAGAGTAATGGAGAATATTTTAATACAAGAAAGCTGACAATATTTGACAAAGGAAGGTCCCGATCGTATTGTTGGATTGACGTATTGTTTACGACGATAAGGACAGTAATGGATCTTACTCAAAGTACCTTCACTTGGCAACAATGACCGCTTGACATAATGGATTGATAGGAGATAAAAATTTTTCGAGTAATCGCTTTCCCATGATCACTTATGCGCAATAAGTTTGTCACCGTTGTCACGGTATATATTGTAACAAGTTTTAACACTACTAATGCTTAAACCTTAGATTTTAGATTTAGATTTAAGTTAATACTATTAGATTGTACATGTGTTTAGTTCCTCAGCAATGAAGGCTATTTATTACTACCTAATAATAATATTGTAACAAGTTAGTAAGAGACAGTTGCTTCTTAATCGTGAATAAACATAATTTTAAATTAAACTAATTTTATTTTATATAATTATTACCTAATTTTCTGGCGGGTTATACGACAGATGGTCTCAAAGTGCCTCCATAAGCATATGATTCCCATTCCATATGATCTTCATAAATTTGACAGGATTACTTAAAAAAAACTACGTTAATTATTACTATTTTAGCAACCATTTGATCACGGGGCGTGGCACCCTGCTGGCTTGGAGGTCGCTCTCTTTGCGTTCCTAGCTCCAGTAACACATAAACGATGTACCATATCTTAACCAATCTATCGAGACTCGCATGTTATAAAGTGAGTGATATTACGCTAACATAATTTGGTGGAAAAATACATCGAGTGAGCGCATTTCACAATGTGCGATTTTACATTTTTTACATGGAAAATAAAAAAGTGAAATTCAAAGAAAATTTTTTGTCAGCTATATAAAAAAAAACATTAAGGCACTGTTTTCCTCTAACTAAGCGCGCACAGCTTGGCAATTTTTTAACATTAATTAATATTTTAATTTCCAATATTGAAAACGTAACATCTAACTAACTTACATATTACTCCCAGTATCTGGCATCTGTCTAATATGGCGCCCCTGTAATCCGAAATGCATTTAACTGTTGAATGTAGTAGTAGGGGAGCCCAAGCGGGGATTTGGAAGTAACTTGAGCCCGACAGTTTAATATAAGAAAAGAAACCTTGTACCTTGTTATGTACTTCCATCACATATAAACCCTTAATATAGAGAGAGGTGTGCGTCTATAAGATCAGTAAAAAAATCGATCCTTAAAAAAATTCGAGCGCATCAGATTGTTCAAGTTGCAAAAAAAATCATAACCTGGAAATGTTCAAGCGCGGTTTTTTTTTTCCTTTAAAAGAAAAATTATTATAAATTATAGGAATAACATCTTCTTCTTTACGTGTCGATGACAAATCATATCTTCCCAGCCCAGAACTTAGCCACTTCGACAGCACAATTTGTGGCATCCATCAGATCCTGCTGCGAACAGGTGAAAAGGCAGGCAGGACAAGACATCAGATGGGTCATGGACTGCACTGCTCCACACATACAGTCCAGGTCTGAGTTTTCTGAGAGTCCCCACCTGAACATATTTTCCTTGCTTCGGACAACCTGAGTCCGAAGTCTATTTAAAGACTTCCAGGTTGGCCAAGGTAGTCTATGACCAGCCGGAATACTCTCAGAAAGCGGGACAAAGGGATCTGGAAGCAAAGTTTGAGCGCGCCGCATGCTGCATCTCGCTTGGAGGAATAACATAATCTGCCGATTTTCTTAAGCCAAACTATCTAAAAATATCAACAGAGTGTAGTGTTTACAACTACAGAGAACTACGTATTTCCCGCTCGCCCCACTCTTCCTTTTTCACTCTTTCTCTATGCCAGATGCCTTACTCTCTCGCACTAAACACTACTCTCTGGCGCCATGATGCCATCACAGCTGATCACAACATCATATTACAACAACGCGTCTATGTAAGTACAACGCTTTTTTTTTGTTTATTGTGTTTTCACAAGTGAGTTTAATGTATGTGTTACGATAATGAGTGACGATAGTAATAATAAAAAAAGTTGTGTATTTTGTGGAGAAAACTGGAAAACCTAGTACAATTATTTTTTCAATTGTCAGATTTAAAAAAATCCCTTCACAAAACTTTCAGAATATGAGTCAGCATGAACAGTGCATCAAGCTAAACCATCTGTATAAAAATCTGATGCGCTCGAGTATTTCAATTTATGATTTTTATTTTTTGTATTTTGAAAAATCGGCTATGAATTTCAGTCATGTTCAACTCGTCAGTCTTTTTTATAATAGGACATTTTTAGGGTTCACTTTTTTTACATTTTTGAAAATTCATACACGCTCCCCCGACCACTGTAAGGATATTATACATCATATATTTTTTTTTCTTTTTAATATGTAACCTTCACGATTCCTTAGGTCTTCAAAGGGTGGGAGAAAAAACGCATTTGGTGGGCTCCCCTACTATAGGTACAGAAACATTTTGAAAAATCTTTACTACTTAAATAGTTATTATTTTTCGTAAATTCAATGGCATTAATGATTTTAATTTTATAAACATTCAGGGCGTGGAACGTCGCAAGTGTTAACTCACTCAATGTCGAAATGGAACTCAATGGGGGAGGCCTATGTTCAGCAGTGGACGTCCTACGGCTGATATGATGATGAAATACACAACTATAACCAAAACTAAACATTCAGGACGTGGAATGTCGTAAGTGTTAACTCACTCAATGAGCAGTTGAATGAATCTAATCGATAAGCTGTATTTATTGTATAAAGTGTACGTTCTGTTAGTGTTCTGTGCGACCTGGAGCCTACCTTAGCACGGAAAGTGATGCCATACTGGAACGCCTCGTCCGGGTGGAGCGGTATGCGGGTGTCGTAATCATCGTTCGACACGAGGTCATACTCCTTCTTTGAAGACATCCTGCGCCACTTGAAGATCTTGAAAGGCGCACGCCAGGCTTTCGCCCTAAACACTATGCGCACGTAGCGGGCCTTGTTCCCCCGCCTAAACATCGAGAAGCATTCCCTACCGTACCCAGAGAACAAAAGTGCGCCTCAGCACTTGTGAACCTGCAAAGAAGAAAATATCCCATTGAAACATTATCATCAAAGACCACATAAGAAAACAGCGGATTGTCCGCCTCTTCTACAAGTTCACACACAGCAAACGTGCACACAGTTCTATCTTCTCCCACTTTTTACGATACCAAAATATTATGAAAGCGTTGTCAGCCTAGATGAGAGCAGACTTTTTTCTTATTCGTTCAGTCTAAAGACAACGCTAGCGCAAACAAGAACAGTTATGAATAAATTTATTCTGACAAAATATAACGAGTTTCATGCCCCGCTCTAGTGGTAAAAACTGTTTATAGGAATACATAATATGAGAATAGTATGTACAGTAAATATAAGAATAGAACCAATAACGTATACACAAGTTTTTCTATTCAAACTGAGATTTGTGACCGTTATGTATCAAGTGACTTATGTGTATAATTGCACTAATATTATTAACGCGTTGTTCGTAGTTTGTTCTACGCAGCAATAGCTGAAGGATTTTGATGAAATTAGGTACAAAGATTCTTTCTACTCCTTTGATTAATTGTTCCATTTCAACACTGAAACTGGATATAGAGGAAATAACTTGAAGAAGAATAAAGATTATGTTTCCTAACATTACGGATTTATCTATTAAACGGATCGTAATGCGATTAAATTGGAAATTCTCCACTCTATAAATCCTTGATATTGCTGAGTATCATGCTAAAATCAAGGCATCGATAGCTCAATCGTGAATACATTTCAATGTGTTGACATTTCGCAATTGAATCTAATGGCTTCCATTAGGATCGATCGTCCGATGCAAACCAATCGATGTCAACTGCCGTCGGGGACCTAGCCACGCCACTTGACACACTAGGATGCTTTGCAATGTGGTTTCTCCGAGGCCATTGAACCACGCTTAAACAGCCTGACAGCGCTGAATTGAGCCTTGTTGACACTTTGTGAGAAAGGAGGTCCGGAAAGTAATGAGACCTTATCTACCATATGGTTTCATCACAGATTGATGATCAATATCTTCCATAAATAGCACATTTATAACTTCAAACGCTAGACCAATAGAACAGACATTAATTAAAAAGTTCTTACCAGTGCGCTTTAACATCTACGGTCCTTAGCAAACACACTCGGACTCTATACTTTGTTAAGTAAATGTAACAAGGCAAAATGTGCGATTCTATTATTAAATTCGCAGTACTTAAGCATTAATTAACTCTTGTGCTCACATTTTATAAGGACAGTTAAGTATTATGAAAACATGTAAACGTCAGCGCATTTCAAGATTATTTAGCAAATATAGAAATAAATTAAAAAAGAAAACAATTATATAGAAATGAGAAATGTTTTAGCTGTCGGACCTGCATTATTCCCGAAGCCAACTCGTGCTAATGTTTTATTATATTTGTATTAAATCATTTTTATAATATTTTTATAATGCGTGGTGGTGATAATTTGAAAAAAAATCAAAAATGTTCCCTTAATAAATTTAGTTCTTAATGTACATTACATAAATATAAAAACATTTTTTTAAAAATTAACAAAACCTTATTCGTATCAGTGATTAACCTAGTATAAGAATTAACAGCTATATCTATCAAAGGCAAAGGCGTCCTCTGTACTGTACGAGGGTATTAGGGCGTAGTCTACCACGCTACCCTACTGCGGACTATTGGGTAAAATATCAGGGTTTTCTCACTATGTTTTCCTTCACCGCTGAGCACGCCAACGAAAAGTCAGCACTTAAAATTAACAATTTCATTGGTGCTTGCACCGGGATTTGAACTCGGGTAGCTCCAGTATATTGAATTAAAAGTGATTGCCCGGACGCTAAGTTATCACGGTTGTAATGTAAATTTAGTTTGTTGTAGTAATAATTTAATAACAATGTAAGAAATAGTTCAGTAACAAAAATTAAAGATACACAATAGAATTTCTATCCATGATGTCTCGAAGAAAGATTCTTATTTGTATTAATACTCTTATATATTGTATTATATATATATATATATATATATATATTCAATCAAATTATATATATATATATATTTGATTTAATTAAACGACGGCTGTAACTTAGACAATTTATTTGTGTTTCTGTAGTAACTGAATATGGAACGCCACTTAATGTTCATTAAAGTATATCAGTGCTTAATTAACTTAATGAGATAGTTTGCAAATTAAATTTATCCAGGTCCTGAACGAAGTATTAAGCCTTCCTATGAAGAATACACAGTAAGGTAGATGTATAACTTATCCGTTCTAAGAATTTCTGTTCGTTTCCATGTTCATTCGAGTGAGTAGAGAATAAGGTCATACTTAATTCAATCCACGACTAAAGGTGAAATATAAAATTAAATGCTTCCTTATCCCAGAAATATGGAAAAAATAACTCTTTTGCAAGCTCCGCTATAACGTTGAGAGGTTGCTGTGCAGAAAAACAAAATCTTGAGATTAACCATTGAAAAATGTTTTGATGAATTCTCGGTTGGCAAATTCGCTTTAAGCAGTTTTTGCTTTCATAAAGTTATTTGATAATTTTTTGATTGGTTTAATAATTTTTGTAATCATTTTACTTTAGCGAATTTTGTGCGAGCGGCAAGAGCATTAAAAGGCCAGCTAATAACAGGTCTAGGTGCAAAACTATGTCACTTTACTTTACTTTTAAAAAAGATTTTGATTACTTACGCTTTATGCTTTCTTATTACCTTGATATTATTTGATACATTAGGTTTAAAGAGAAACCAGAAAACAAAAGCAAAAGTATCATTATAATTAGTAATGAAAAACTAAAACTAAATTTTCTGCAGAATGTGAGAAGATAATTCTGAACTATCTGCCATTTTCAAACAATTTTCCTGTAAAACTTTTAGTTTGAATGGTTTAGCCAATGTAAGTTTTCGATAAAGTCAACTTACATCCGAAGATTGAGGTGAATCTAAAAGGAATGTTCAATGGAGTATTCTATTCTGAAGGGGCAAATAACTTGTATAATATTCCTTTCTATAAGCTTTCTTTCACCGTTTATTTCTTATGAAACGTTTCATATAGTAATTCCACATATCCTCATCTTCTATTTTAGCCTAAGTTTTAAAGACTCATTGGGACACATATGTTATGAATTGCTAAGAATGCGTGTTGACATAGCTTTGACGTCACTGGAAATTGGCTCGTTCCAAATATAGCTCGTACAATACGAAAACTTGTTTTAATCGTTTAATTAAAATAAAATAATTATTGAGTGAAATTACAGAATTGTATTTACCTGATGATACGATGACTACACCATCTTAACATAGATTTCCATAGGTAAAATGCGTGGGCCCCGCCTACCTCACTCGTAAGACGAAACGCAAAATAATAACGCTCACCCTTACACTGGTCTTCTGTGAAAAAGAGATGCTTTCGAATGAGCCTGCTTAGTCATGGAACGGTGGACACTTTAAAAATTTAGACGTTTCAAAGACTTTTCAGCAACCATTATCCAGGGACTGAAAACTTCGGAAGACTAAAACGAAATAAAGCTCGATAAAAACTAAATTGATACTACTGAGAATATAAAAAAAACTGTAAAGCGTACATGAACTTTGTTGGACAATATTATATAAGATTTTCTTGAATCTCTAAATTTAATAACCAAAGTTAGATTGTTTAAAATTATAATAGATCCGTGAGGAAACGGGCGTAATTTTAATCAAAATTTCTTTATTGCGGCGTTAAAACACTGAAACTCAACGATAGCCAAGTTTTTCAACGCTACAAGCGGCTTTTGTTATTCGAAGAATCCTGACATAATTCTAGACGGCTTTGCTGCCGTTAGTTCTGTAGATTAAGTGCTCCATTTGTTTATATCTTATATAATTTTATTAATAGTTGTAATATTAAGTTGTAAATTTAGCATAATAATCACACACTTATTTTCTTTGTTCTAGGTAATTGATATATGTAAATTTGTTTATATATTCTATTATTTGTTCATATATGTAGAAGTATATGTACTAAATATTCATTGAACCATTCTCTATATCATATTATTACAAAAACGGAACTAAAATAAAAAACCAGAAGATATTCTTATATATTTGAAATTATTTGTCTCTTTATCATTATTGTGTCATTGGCGATAGCATGTGGACCGCCAACTGCCTTAGAAGAAGAAGAACTAGATTAAGTGGCATAATTATTATGTGTAGATTCTTATTATTCTAGCATTCCCTTCGTTATGACCTTTAAAATATGTAACAGAAAATATCAATGCAGTTCTGAAAGAAGGCCAAGTTACGATCCTGGAGTGCATTCTCCTTGAATTATTGTTTTGAACTGAATACGACGACTGAAGAGAGAATACGACGATCAGAACAACAGTTTCCTTTTTGAAATGATTTAAGTGTGTGCATAATGTTATGTTTCGTACCTATATCAGTATACCTAAAAATAAAATATCTATTTATAAAATATTTTAGTTTAGACAAATATAAATTCGCTAGAATTCCCAAGGAAGGTTGACGTCAGGCAGGCGGCCGATCGTAAAATAAAGCAAATAACTGAATAACATGGTTCCGAAAACAAATTATGGATATTTTGTGCTGACCCCACGTAGTGTGGGTTATCCCACATGTTCAGGAAAAAGGAGGAGAAGAATATCAATGCAACTAGTTGGATAATCCGTCAATAATAGACATAAATGTTTTAGTTATAGAATTGAGTTTTAAAAATGTACATTGCTTGAAATAAATCAAACAAAGATCATTTAAAGTTATGGTCATTAATATTAATATAAAATATTTATTTACTCTATTAATGATACATATTGTAATTTAATGTTTTATGTAAACACGTCTACAAGATCTGATGCAATTAATCCGTTTATAAATTTTCTTTAGTCGCTTACGGTGATGAATAGACTGAAATATTAAAGCAACCTTGTCGCTTTAACTTTTAACGAGCTTCACGGT